GACATACTAGTGGTGTTGATTGGTGCTTTTTTTTCATAGAAATGAGTTAAAACTTATCTTCAAAAGCAGAATAAATTGATAATCAATAAGGCTTCAATTAAATCAGTTCAGAATAACAGATTTCTATTCATAGTACTATCAGGCCATCATTAACATAATGTTTCTAAAGACTACATAAGAGTATAATAAATGTTTGTAATATGATGATGATGCTAAATAGAAAAAATTTTATAAAATTATAAATGTACTAAGTACAATTATAAAACAGAGAGATAAGAACAGTTATTTCATTGACTTTCATTTCTTTATCTTGCCAAATTATTTTTTATTAATAGTTAAACAACAAATATTTTAACAAAAATAAACATCATTATACGTAAAAACATTGTTTATATTTTTCACCCTCTGTATGACCTTAATTGGGAATATAGTTGTTGCATATGTAAATAACCTTTATATTGAAGATTTTTATGATCAAGTATTACAATTAACAAACTAAGTTAAAATATATAGTAGGAATTTTTAATTGAAAAAAGTTGCCTTGCCTATCATTGCTGAGTATAGTATTCAACAATGAAGACCTCAATAACAGTCTAATTTAAAAAAATATTTATTTTCAGACATAGACTGCATTCATATAATCAGAAATACTTAATGAAATAAAACATTTATTTTTTCTCTTGATATTTCTGAACGGTCATGATTTTTACAAGACAAGCCTTAAAAGTGGAGATAGGACTCTATATTCAAAGTATTATATGACAGTGATTGTCATAATATATTTTTATAACTACAGAATGAAAAAATTGACCTATATATCAATCTTCCCTCTGATATATATATCAATTATAAGATGATTCTTACTATTAGAAAATTGGTTTTATATTTGGTAGGCACATTACAAATCACAATGCTTTACTCATCATAAGTAAATTTCTAAATGTTTATTAAATGAATGAATACATAACCTCAGAGGAAAGTACTGTGTACATACTGTCACACACACTGCTTTCTGATCCAAATAAAGATTAAGGATCCTTTACTTCGATCTGAGATTGTCTCTCCTAATGATTTTGAGATTATAAGTCATTATTTTAAAAAGGGAAACCCTCAGTGGATAATTAGCAGTAATCAAGAGAAGTTTAAACATGCATGAAGGTGAAGTTGCAGCTGAGAATTATTGTAGGAAATAAATCTCCTGAGACAGGGTGAGGGCACATATCCTGCAGTAGAGATGTTTTGAAAACCATTTCACTGGTGGATTTCTCTCAAGCCATTTCTCTTGGACCAGTTTCCTAAGGCAAATGCTTGGTATGTTTTTTTTTTTTTTTTTTTCTAAAAAGAATGGTCTGTATACTTTGAGGAATCATTCTGCCATTGAGCCTGTTAGGCTAACAGCTAATGAGTTTCTCACATTTGAGTTTTTAAATGTCTCAGTGGAATCAGTCATTACAGTTGTTCCTACTTCTTTCTCTTCTTACCCAAATAGGCACAGTCCATGAAGCAATACCAATAATAATTTCACATAGGTAAGTAATTCAATCACTTTAGTTGGATTTTAAGAAACATAATCTTCCACAGTTTTGCAAAACCAAGAGGACCACCTTACAAAAGATTCTGTTTATACAGTGAAGCCAAATCATCACCTGTTTCAAATGGTCCAGATTTTGTTGATCTATACAGAAATTTAGAGGTATTAACAGAATTATCCAGGGAGTTTAAGCCAATTAGAGTCTGTTCCTAGTCTCTGCACTGTAAGCAAATCTTCTAAGTTCCTTAAATACAAAATGAAGGCACAAAGTGCTTAAGGGGAAGAAATTCAATAGAGACAACAATGATAATACCAATAGATGTTTAAACTTGTTAATGAGACTAAAAAGCTTTCCTTGGTAATGAGTCAGAGTTTGCCCCTTGTGAGTGATAGGACACCTAATTAAAAAATGACTTCTGACCAGGAGTGGTAGTGCATGCCTGTAATCCTAGCTAATTGGGAGGCTGAGGAAGAGGATCAAGTTCAAGACCAATCTGGGCAATTTAATGAGACTCTGTCCCAAAATACAATTTTTAAAAAGACTGGGGAGGTAGCTCAGTGGTAAAACTTTGTCTTATATGTTTGAGGCCCTAAATTCAATCCCTCAGTACTGCAACAAAAAGAAAAAGGAGATGACTTCCACCTAGAATATGATTTGTTAGAAATCTATAAAAAGCTAACAGTAAAAGAGGCCTACAACTCCTCCAAGATTTGTTTATGTATCTATTTTTAGGAGTAAAAATAAAAATCTCTAAAATTTGGATCAAAGGTTTTAGTCATTTTTAATCAAGCCATTTTCAGTTTCTAAATAATAATAAATTATTTAATTATAAATAAATTAAGGAAAATGGGCTCATTCATTTAGGTTTAGTATTTATTAATCAGAAAAATTAAAACAAATCTGTCCTAGAAATTTGGTAAAACAGTTTCCTGTGTGTTTTTACAAACACACACATGCATTAAATACAAACATATGTATACACATATACAAAGAGGTGATGGATACATTGATCAACTTGATTTTGGTAATCATTTCATAATGTACACATAAAACATATCACATTATATAACCTAAGACTATATAATTTTTAGTTTTTAGTTGTACTTCAATAAAACTGGAGAAAATTATATATATGATACCTCAAATATGATCTGTCAAATCTATGAGTCAAATAAAACACCCAGAGAAGCACCTGGAGGTAAGTAGTCATTTTACTTTCTTTTGTTGTTCCTTAACCATAAATAAATTCTCTTTTAACCAAATGTTATTGTTTTTATTTTAAAAAAAGACATTTATTGAATTTTTCCAGGCTAGGTGTAATTTAATGATATGCTAACCCAGCAAGAGAATTTTGCTTATGAAAGATTAAAAACTTTACTTGCTTAGGTAAAATAAATTTAGATAATATATGTGGAATAATTAATATCTTTAAATATGACCATATATGAAATGCATTAAAGTATATTTCCAATGATTAATTCAACCACTTTTATGGCTCATTATAATTTAAAAAGTCTGAAAATACTGTCACCAATTAAATCTCAAAAATTAGCATTTTACAGATGTGGTAACTAAGGTAGAAAGACAGGTCTGACAAAGATCACTTGCTTGGGAAGAATGGAGTCCGGAGCAGAAACCAAGGATTCTGGCCTTTCACTCATGTGTTTTATGTTGACTGATTCTCTTTTGTTACCTGAACTGTAGTTACACCTTCCTTCCAATTGTTTGAGTCTGGATTTCAGTATATTAGTTTTCCTACTACCTTTAGTGTGTGCAGGTGAATTCATGAATGGACAGAATCTTGACATGTACACACTGTTATCTTTATAAGGTCAATAGACACTGAGAAGGAGATGACTAATTCACAGTTGCTTTTCCATTACTTATCAATTGTAAGCCTGTGATGGCCTCAACTTTTTGCAATAAATATGGGCTATACAAAAACTGTCACTAGATAATATATTTGAAGTTCAACAGGGAAATAGAAATAGTCCAAAGTATCGAGAATATATTAGTGTAAAATACTTCTGACTTTTTCTAGCAATTCTAAGACTAGTAACTCAAGTAGATTTCAATGGATATTTAAGATTAATACCAGTTATTGTATATATAAACACACATATACATATTTTCTAAGGAAAAATAAAAACAAGCTGAAATAAATGATGACATAAATATGAAGTTTTTTTAACATAGAAAAATAAATAATTTTTTTAGGAATAAAGTTCAACAATAACAAAATACATTTTTATATATTATGAGATTGAAAAGATACTTTTCATGGTCCCTCTGTCATCTCAGCGGTATCTGTTCTAGTACTAGAAGCGAAAGTGTACACTGAACATGAATATGCATTTAAATGTACTAAAGGATCATTAATTGTCAGAAGAATTGATATTAAGTATCCATAGTATATGTAATCTCAAAGACTCTGTGGGATGTGGTATTAAAACTGGCCTATGTGATTTCCTGGGCAGGTTCTCATAGGGGCACTGTGAGCATTTGACCTCAGGATGTAAGTCTCTGTCCCTCCAAAACTCAGAGAAAACAAAACAAAACAAAACTATATAGAGAAGAAATTATAAATATATCCATATAACTTTTGAAATATAATTTTATGGGGTCAACATGTAGTATAGTCCCTATCATTTTTGTTCTAGGCCAAATGTTTTATCTTCATGAATTCTCAAAGCAAGAAAAAAAAATACTTTGATTTTTAGGTTCCTATAAAACCAACTAATCATATTCTGCCCATGAACTATCTATTTAACACTCACTGTTTTGAAATTAAAGTGTCCTTTTTAAGTGTCCTGAATGATAATGAAATAAGAATTTTCACTGGAAGAAACTGGGTAGGATTATGATATTGTTTTTTGTTTGTTTGTTTGTTTAATTAGCCCAAAACTTCTGCAGAAAAAAATGCAATCTCAAATTACTTCAAATGTTTGTCAAACATTAAAGTTTTGGATTAAAGAAAACTATCCTTGTAGAAGAATTGTATTTTTAAACAAAATGATAATTGATAGGTTATTTATCATCTCATATCAATTCCAAATTAGTAACATCAAAGTTCAATGTGAAGTGATAATAATTGCAGCCTTGTAAATACCTCTAGCTTTATTACATTTTATGCAGTTGAATGCAACCACCATTTGTTCAGAAAATATTGTCTATAGAACAAATTACATATTTATATTCAATCATTTATACTTTATTTTAAACTAACCTTGTACCTTGTTTAGATGATCTTCATCACAAAATTAAGGTTTTATGTTTAAAGAGAGATATACTAAATAAGCATATTGTATAATAATTATCTTGAATAGTTTGCTTCATTTTATTCTCAAGTAATTAGATTCTTACTATCAGAGTTTTGGACTTTGTTGAGTCCATCAAAATATTCGATCTTATTTCTATTCAAAATCAATATTTATCAAGATAAAGGCAAAAGAAAATAGTATCACTTACTTTGCTTTTGCTTCTGCATCCTCATATGCTTTATTAGAAACATCGTCCAGCCCTCCAATCAAATGCTTGAAAGAGCTGTAAGAGGAAAAACACAGTAATTAGGACAAATACAAAGTAGTAAGGATAGAAACCTAGTCAATCGTAAGGTGAAACAATTAAGGGCATCTAAAGAAAAATAAATTCAAACACTTAACCTAATGCATCATTAATAAACATACCAGAGAGCAGATTTTTTCCCCTGACTCTGATATAAACTTTATGAGATCAGAGACCTTTCCTACTTGATTCACCTCCATAGTCCCCAATACTTAGCTGTATCTGGCTATATGTCTGGTAAAGACAGATATTCAAATAACTGAGTAGATTAAAATATATGATACATTAATTTATATGCATCACAAAGTTAATGAGTCTTTTCATTATAATACTAAAACAACAACAAGATCTACCAACCACGGAGTGCTTACTATATGTCAGGTATTATAATTATCATTCACATTTATTAATTCAATTCTCAAGCTATAAAAGACAAGCATCATTATCTATACTTAAAATTAGTAAGCTAATCTTCAAAGGCAAAAAAATGTGTAGCTGATGGGAAAACAAACAGCAGGAAAGAATTATAGAAAAATCAACTCCTTTGAAAGCATGAAAAAAAAATCACTCTCGTGTAAAGCAGGTGGTTTAATTTACTCAGTCTATCAATATCCTACTATGTACCTAGAAATGTATTCAGACTTACTTTCTACAGAGAAGTCTCATCTATTATATATTTATAATATAACACTATAAAATAATGCAATGTAAACATACACACATATTATAATTGTCCTCAAAAAGCAAACAACAAGATACAGTAACTCTTAGGCAAACAAGATTTTGGTAATGACTAGAACTTTCCTTTTGTGGATGAAGAAACAAAAAATAGAGACTATACACAGAAATCTGGGACTTCACATGACAGAGCCCCACATACCAGGCACTGCCCAGTGTGCTTCATATGTAGTAACTAATAGTGTACAAGGACCCACTGAGTTAGGATTATTTATCTCTATTTTACTTTCATTTATCCCCATATTGTAAAGGAGGATATTAAAGTACAACAGGTTGAGAAACTAGCCCAGAGTTACACAGCAAGAAAATGGGAAGATTAAATGGCAGAAGGTGATCATTCGCCTTCCTACTATTCAAACTTACATTGCACTATCCAAATCACTATGGTTGGAAGCTAATTGTGAAATTTCTAATAATATCTGGGCTCTGGGTGGAGAGTTTTGAAGTGGTTTAAGAATCACATTTTGATTTTAAATCTCTACTTTTTTTTTTCATTGCTGGGGATCAAACCCAGGGCCTCTTGGTTGTTAGGCGAGTGCTCTACCACTGAGCTGCATCCTAGCCCTTGTATAATCTAAAATATGTAAATGACTTTGTGTGTTGTAATCATTAAACATTAAGTTATGCATTGTCAGGTCCTGAAATATCTTAGAAGATTTATTGACTTAAATTTAAAAGTTACTTAATTACTTTCATATATAAGTTGGTTGGAAAAACTGTAAAGTAGAACATGACACTGTGCCTGGGAGCTGGCTTCAAGGGGATGGAATAGCTATTATCTCAGACCCTTGGGTAATGATCTCATCTGGGAGGCAGAGTAATTAGAAAGTTATACTAAATGCAATATCTCTATACAAGAGAAAATTATAGACAAAGGCCTATGGAATCAAGAATCTTATTCAAAAATATGAAGTCTTCTGTAATCAACTGCATTAATTCATACTGAGTGAATGTTGAATGGTTAAAGGCAGTAGTTCTTACAAAATTTTTTAAAATGATATCAATAATAAAATGATTAATAAAATCCTCATGGTTGAGGAAAATTTTTAAATATGACTTGTGCCATTATTCTTTTTTTATATGATAAATTTTCTCAAGTTACCATAGAATGCTTTGTTCTTTGCTAAAACTTGGAAAAAGGCTGATTTTCAAGAAACCCTTTAGGGTTAGATGAGTTTATAATGTAAAGTTTAAAATTAATTTTGCCATGCAAATAGATAATATTTGGCTAATTTTCTGTTTTCATTGATAAAAAACAATTTAATCCTAGAGTTAAATTACTTGTCCAAGACGACTATAATTTATCAGGATTCTAATCAGTATTCCATATTACCCATTCCCGTTCTTTATAACACCAAATCTAAAACATTGTAAGAACATTCTGACAAAGGAGTCAAAGAAAAATTTGAAAGAAAACCAAAGAATAATGACCATTAAAACTTGGCTTGTCCATTATGTACATTAAGAGAGCATGATCTTGGATAATTAAGCTCATAGTAATTCTGAGAACTCATTTTTTAAAAAAAATTTGTCTTCCTCCTTGTCTTTATTTGAGATGAAGATGTTTTAATCAGGATATTACATTACCAAAGAATTAATGAGTAATCTGATAAAAATATCTTCATTCTTGTTAAATGTATTAACATAAGAAATTCTGTTCTGTTCATTACACTAGATTAAAACTCCTCAGATTGCTTTTTAAAAATCTAGTTTGAAATCCTATCAGCAAAGTTAAAAGGAGAAAAGCATTTATATGGCAGTTCTGTAGTGAGCTGTAAAAGTAGAAAGCATCTAATTATACTAATGATTTGTAAAATAGTTTATCCATTTTTTAAAATTAGTAATATTCAATGACAAATATCACATTTAAAAAGAATGAAAAAATGAGTATCTGAAGTGTGATTTTTTTGTTTTCTTAAATGTCCTTAATTTAAACCATTAATTTTTACATAGTTATCTTAATCCAAAATTTATTATTTTTACTACTAGACAAAAAAATATGTGTCCAAAAAAGCCTTGTGTCATTTGTGAAATAAATTCCCTCTAACTTTCATTCAAAATATAATAGATATTTTTTGTGCTATGGGAAATATAAAAAAACTGAAAGAAGAAATTAAAAGATTACACATAGTTATCTAATTACAAATAACAAGGGGGAACTTTTTTTTCTTTTATTTTTTGACTTCTTTCTATGCATAGATTAGCTGTAATTAGAAAGTAGTTATGACTCAATCTCCTAATTCTTAACTTAATATTATAGCATAAGTATGTAGTTTTTAAAACTCCTTAAGTAATATTTGAGCAGATGACTAATAGGCCACTGTATGTACATGTATCAGAATACCCACTGATGCATGTATACCCACTTATACATCTACTAACACATACACTCACATACACACATGTATTCAGATGAAGGAGGGGGTATGGTATGGTAACTATACATACAACCACAAATATTTGTATTCTAGATTATAGATAATACATATGGAATTTCTTTTGAAAACAAATGTAACCTGGACTATAATTTTGGCTTTTGATATTAGAACTGTGTCTTTTGTAAATGATTTTTATTTAGGAGACCATTCCAACCAAAATAATATAATATTTTTTGAAATATTAAAATATGATTCCTGGATAATATTCTAAATCTATCCAAACAATAAATCAAACATTATACAGTGTAGAATTTTCAAGCAACATTACTAAATTCCAAATGAAAGCCATTGTCTATACTGGTCAATGAGTAATTTAAGACATCTTGATAAGCATAATTGATGATGTTACAGAATTTATCCTTCTTGCCACAGATATGAAGAAATTACCATTGCATTTTTCCCTTTCACAGATGTTCTGTAGAAACACCTGCCATCTGTATGGACTCTCATTGTACAGATATTTATAAAAGAATTGCTCTAGTTATCAGATTCCTTTCTAATTATTTACTTAGGTCCTGTGATTTTTTTTTTTTTTTTTTGGTACTGGGGATTGAATCCAGGTGTGCTTAACCACTGAGCAACATACCCATCTCTTTTTATTATTTATTTTGAGTCAGGGTCTCTCTAAGTTGCTTAGGGCCTCACTAAGTTACTAAGGCTGGCCTTGAACTTATGATCTTCGTTCCTTAGGTTCCTGAGTTGTTGGGATTACAGGTTTGTATCATCATGCCAGACTTCATTATGACATTTTTTGACTAATAAATGGAGAAGACTTTTGTTGTCATTGCTGTATTCTGAAAGAGATTATAAGATGTTTTGACAACCTTATGAACTGAATGAGTGGACCACAAAATGTTATTTACCCATTATAACAGATCTAGGTTACTACAAGTAAATCATCCATCATTTTCAGTTTTTAAATTCACAGACATTATACAATTTATATTTTAAGCCTTATGAAATAAAATAGTCAAATTCATAAATACTCTGGACTTAATTTCATAAAAAAGTTAAGGAGACATGATGAAGTGAAATATTTTAATTTAGGGAATCTCAAAGTTTGTATCTCAATGAAAGCAAACTTTCATTATGTACCTACTATTGCTTGTGGGGACTGTCTCCTGTTTATTTTCTTAAGGTGGGAAATCTAGTTTCAACAAGTCTCAACAGAATTATTTAAGGCAATGGATAAAATATTATCAGACGTCCCTTTTATGTTTAATGTCAGTAGTTTAAATAAACTTGCAAGGTGGGGAGGGAAAGGAAAGAATGAAGGGAAGAAAGAGGGAGAAAAGGATAAAGGAAAGAAAGTAGGATGAATAAAAGAAGGAAGAAAAGAAGGAAGAAAGGAAGGAAGAGAGAGGTGGAGGGAGAAGAAATGAGGACACTTTCACATCAAGAATGATGACTTTTATAGAAATATTCCTTCAGGAATATCAGTTAAAAGGCTTCTTTTCATTCTAGGAAATCTGTTTTAGAACATTATAGTGGCAGTAGCTCAGTGGGTAATAATTTCAGTTATTAAGATGTTTTCATTATTAAGCCAAAACATCCATCTGAAGGGAGCTGATTACTCAGTGGTATGTCTAAAACGTGTATAATTTTGTTCTTCAGCAGTTATGATATGATAAGACTTCATCTTGAGAGAAATGGGCTTTTAAATTACTAGAAAGGCAGTGTAAATAAAATGAGAGCATTTATATTTTACTTTTCGCTTACAAAGCACTTTTTATATTCTTAAGCCACATATGCATTCATATATCTATATTCATAGTTGATTTAATATTTATGCTTATCTATCCT